GAGAGAGTTAAATCGATGATGAGCAACAAAAACGGCGAAAAATGAAATGTGCAAATAACCCGGCAAAGGCATAAAGAAATACAGGGTAACAACGAAAGGAAAACCATCCGCATCAAAGGTATGAAGAGGAGAATGATATCATTTTAGGGAATATTTCCATTCTTTTAAAACCGTATACTGCCAACCAAAAGAAGAAGTACTACAGTACTTATCGATGATGTTCCGTATTTAAATTTATTTTAATAAATACGTTGATGTTAGTTCATTTTAGATCTTAATTTATTTTATGTGTAAATTGTAAAATATTAATAATATTTACCTTATCTCTAAAAAAATTAACTGCTGATTACCGATATGATATGATATTATAATCAGAATATTTTGGCTTATATGAATTATACAGTCTTAAACAAATAGTCTTCCTCTTACGTACAAATCAAAGGTCTAAAACCCTACCTTTTATTATATTTCACCCATTCATCGTTCATTATCGTTTATATAGAGTATATTCAATTTAGTACTTATTGAATATGAAGTTGAGTCTCTTGCAGTCTGTTGTAAATAAGTGAAGCGCAGAAAGATGCAATAAAATAATTGAGTCCTTATTTGCTGCAACAGGCTAAATATAGAATTATAAAACCAATAAAATATTTTAATCAATATAAAACTAATTATAAAAATAAAATACAAATGTTTTAAGATTATTGATTTCGGAAAAAATCATTGTTTCATGAATTCGGTGAAATTTGAAAATGTTCTTCATTTCTTAGGGACTAGAGTTTTCCATTGGTGATTTCCAATCTTGTTTCCCTATTTCCCTGTGCTTTCTCTCTCTCTCTTTCTCTCTCTCTCTAGCTCTCTTCCCTCTTTAGCTCTCTTCCCTCTCTGTCTATCCCTCTGTTTCCCCACTCTCTTTTCCCTCTATTTTTCGTTCTATCTCATTTTTCCCTCTTTTCCCACTCTCTTCTCTTTTGCCTTTCTCTCTGTTGTACCTCCATTTGTTGTATCTCTCTCTGGAGTTCATCTCTCCGGAGTTCATCTCTCCGGAGTTCACCTCTCCGGAGTTCCTCTCTCCGGTGTTCATCACTCCGGAGTTCCTCTCTCCGATGTTGCTCTCTCCGCTGTACATCTCTCCGTTGTACATCTCTACGCTGTACATCTCTACGCTGTACATCTCT